CAAGGCATGAGGAATCACAGGAGCAAGGCACATCTGCAGTGGCAGGAGTGGAGAATAAAAGCTGCTAATGGATGTATGAAGGTGTTTTTGGAACAGACCATAAAGTAATGAGTATTCATAGTCTGATTATGTGGCTAGAGTTTCAGAGGTGCTGAAGGTACCCAAATTTCACAGACCCAACACAGCTGCAGCAAATTGAGCCCATCAGCTCCTTCATCTTCACTGAAAAGCAGCTCCTGCTTTTAATCACTAAAGTCCTCTGTAAGACTAACACGCTCACATGTTTAACAAAATACCTCTTATTAAACCAGCCAATACAGACCATTTACAGTGCCAACCTCCTCCTCCTACAAACCTTGCTTCACTCACAGAAATTACTGCTCTCAGGAAGTCTTTAGCCCACCCAGAACATCTGAATGCCCATTTCTCTTCAGAAAACAGATGGAAAGCAGGTGCCCAAAAGCCTTTCCACCAAATATACTGACAACTCCAAAAGGAGATTTAAGCAGTTGCAGGTGACTCGATGGCAACTTGGACCATGCCAGTCCCATCCTCATCCATGCCTGGAGACAGTTCTTCCCCACTCACCCTTAGCACTTCAGGGTAAAGATTACACCTGATTTGAAACATCTCCTGACTAAACAAAACAAACCATACCTTGATCGCCTGGTGCAATGTGCAAGCACACAATAGTAATCACAGCTAATGACTCTGCTAAATGCTAGACTGCACACACCTCCTTGTTTGGTGTTTGTTTTGTATACAGAAGGTAACATCAACTGAATAACAAGGATGCCAAGTTACAGATGGGGTTGTGGAATCGTATTTGACAGCCGATTAGAGTAATCTGACAGAAATGATGACTTAATCACCACGACAGACTCCAAATTCCCAGATAGAATTCCACCCAGGTTAATCTAATTTCCTTGCAATATTTTTGCCAGAAATAGACTCTTAGCCGGCTTGTTTTCTCCCATGCAGATGTCACATGGTTTTGACAAGAATGTAAATAGGAAGCATTATTGTGGTTGAAAAGATGAGTTTGAGGCTCTAAAACTGGAGAGGGTGTGTGCCTTGAGAAGTTTTGGGTTGTTATGCTGTGGTTTTTTATCTGATGAAGTTACATACAGTGGGATGTACTCAGGAAAAAGAGGGGGAAAAAAGAAAAAGAGGTAACTATTCAATTGTAATTCTAGGCCATGGCATGGTCCTGCTGCTGCCCTGGACATTGCCAGCAGCCAGATTCTCATTGATTTTAGGGGATTTTCAGGATTTAATGTTTGACAACTGTTTCTCTGCCTTTTTGATTCCTGTGGACCATCAGCACCCCTGCTTGGGATGTGCCCAAGGAGATGTGGTGATCTGCTTGGCCTCTGGCTTCAGGTGGGCTCTGTTAGAGCAATGAAGCCCCTATTTTGCTGCCAGCACTGCCACAAGGCACCAGCAACCTTGGGCAACAGGCACTTGCCTGCTCTCAGTTGTAAAACAGTGGCACAGTGTGTTTTGAGACCTATGGACAGAGAGTGCCTGTGGGAAAGGTAAGGTTGTGCTGTACTTGCTGCCCAACTGCGAGCTCTCTATAATATTGACAAGGAGATGTTGTTCCTTACAGCCCGTAGTCCAGCCTGGGTGTGATATCCCTGTGCACAGTGCTTGCCAGGGGAAGCTGCCCACGCTCAGAAAGAACTTGCCTGAGAGCTGTGTTGTTCTCTTGTTACTGTATGGTCTGAGCACAGGGTAGTGTTCAAGTCTGTAAAGTATTTGCTGCGGTTATTTTTCTTACTCTTGCCTATTTGTTAATTGCAACTGTGCATTCATAAATACTGTGCTTTCTTAAACAAAGATTTTTTCAAGCAAAGAAGAAAATGCTTCCTGTTGTTCTGTGTGACAGCATGACATACTGAGAAACCACTTACCTTGAGATCATAAGTGATGTATAGCTGCAATAACAGGTTTCTGATAAGACATGAAATCCTTCATTTCAGTAGATGACATGATTCTAGTGAGTGGCATCTAATTTGAAACAGGTTTATATCATCTATAATCTTTTGGAGGGCCTGGGAAAGCGCAGCTATTTTATTATTTTTATAGCCTGCAGTTATACAAGGAAGATATAAAACGCACAGATTATTTTCTCTTTTGCTCATTGTAGAGTGAAAGGATAGTACCTATTTAGCTTTTGTCTCTGCCCCTTTAATTTTCTTATTCACTGCACACTTCTTTGAGAGTCATTCTTTTCTTTTCTTTTCCTTTCTTTTTTACACCTACCTTTAAATATTTTATGGGTAGAGAGCTTATAATATGTATTGTCACGGCAGTTGTCTCTAGAGGTCAGCAATGAGTTTAATAATGAGATGCGAACCAGTGACTCTGTAAAACCCATTTCAGGTTATAAATGGCATGTTTTATTGAATCTAGTGTTAAAGGTTGTTAACGTATCAATTGGTGATGGTCAGGGTTAAACAAGCTTCAACATGAGCCCTCTCATGTTAGGAAACTGTCAGGAAGGTATTTTTCCACCTTCCTCTTCCACTGAAGCCAGGTTTGTGTATCGCATCTATTTTTTCCAGGGTGTTCTGTAGTTTAAACTCTCCAGGTCTGAGCTGGATCTTGTGTTGATTTTGCATCTATATAATTTTAAGCACAACAGCATCGCTCCCAAATTCAACTTGCTGGTGTGAAGGGAGTTTGGACCATGACTTTTCAGCAGGAACCTTTGAAATCAAGTAGAAACCCAGCTAAAGCATCCTGTTAAATCTTGCCTCTTGCTTCGTGAATGTACCAGATTACTGACTTAATGAACTTGGGGTAATTATGTGTAACAGAAGAGGACAATTTCAGGTGCAATAAATGTGTTTGTTGGGTAACACTGATCTTTATGTTGTTACTATGGGCTGCAAAAACAACTTCTTCACATGAATTCAGTCTAAAGTTGGCTTCTGTAGTTCAGACAGTTTGAGAAGTTCAGAAGTGAGAGGTTTTTAACATTGCTAGAATTGCCTTTGTTTAAAATATCTCCTCTTTGGAGCATATAAATGCAGCTATAAAGAGCGATAGATTCTTTGTCTACAACAGGCCTGAATTTGGGTTGGGTTTTTCTGTTATAATCTGCATATTCCTGAATTTACAATACTTACCTTTCTTTCCTCTATTTTTTCATCATTCCATTGCTCCTCAGAGACATCAGTAACCTTCAGCGGGCTCATGGAGCAAGTTACACTTTTTTTCTTCTTTCTCTTTTTGATTGCTGAGTGGACATACTGCATCACATTCCCATGAATTTTAAGTCTCCTGCAGTGCCCAATGTATTGTTGATTTCAGGATAAATATTAAGCACTAAAGACAGAGTACGATAGAAGTTCCCTTTTTCCTATAAATTTGATCGAATAAGAGTGGCAGAAAAGTGCTGGGCTATTAAGGTCCATTTAGGAAATGAATGATTCAAAGAGAACAGAATTGTTAAAATTGAAGCAAATTTATGCATCCTGGTGACTACATCTACCTTGTGGCTTTGCCTTTTCCTTAAGGCACAGTGGGGAGTTTGCAAGCAGCACAGGCAACGCATTGATTTGCAGGGCCAGGGAGCATTCTGGACTTTGAGTAAATCTTACAGAAACATTCACAGCTATACTTTATATTTTCTAAAGAATCCAGCATCTTTTTCCCTGGAGGCTAAGTGGCTCCACCAAAAGCAATACAGATTTGGGTTTCTGTGCTGCTTTGAAAGCACATTTGATATGAGGGCATGGATGTTCTCTCCTGCTCAGCTGTTTTTGTTTCCCAAAGTTTGTCATAATAGTCTTTTATTAGAAAAACGGAATTGCCTCTGACATTTTCAGGCAATACTCAGCTCTGCTGCACTGAAAAATGATACTAAAGCAGATAGAGCATACATTTATTTATCTGCTCACGTGAATTGGTAAGGAATTGCTGAGGAGAGAAAAAGCAGTGGCCCTGCTGCTGCTGGAAGGTTTGTGCAGTCAAATCTCAGCAACTATACAGAGCCTATGAAAGAAAATAAAAGTGAGGTTTTTTGCAAGCTTAAAAATTTCACACATTGAATATCAATGTGAGGTCAGTTCTGAAGGCTTTTGAGAACCTGTAACAAAATTTCCCTGAGTACACCACAGTGGCCACGTGGCTGGCTGTAACCAATGTCCATGGTAAAGCCACACACCCTGATCAGAGGGAGCTCAACTGCTGTGGTTGTTGCTATTCCTGAAAGAACAAAAGCACCATTTGTAAAAATTTTGTTGGAGTTATCAACAATTCAGTGTGGGAGCAGCATCATGTAGTAGAGAAAGCTGAGGACACACCATTAGGATGCTGTGAGATGTTCAGCACGGAACACTGCACACGGGGGTAGATTTCCTTTGCAGTAGGAGGGACATGAATGGAGGAAGAGGTTGAAAAGGAAAAAGGATTAGGAGTTTTTATGGAAGCCAGAATTGTTCCATATTGTGGTGGAAGCTTTATGAATGAATGTATCATGTATCCTAAAACAAAAAGATGAAATACTGAATAGTTATAGGAAGCTATTGTAAGAAGCAAGATTCTCTTCCTCTTCAGTCTGAAAGAATTAGCATGCTTTTTTTAATTACAAGCAAAGTTCATTTGTCAAACTCAAGTCCTCTGAGTACGTTTTAAATGCTTGCTAGTTCTTAAATTACTTGAAAATTTCATCTTGGTTTTGGCAGTGGTTGAGCTCAAGGAAAAAAAAAGTTGGTAAAACAGAAACCAAGCATGCCATAAACTAATGAGGGCTGTAACTTTAGAGGTCTTCTGAAACTAGATACAGCAAATTAAAGATTTATAGGAGTCCTGTGGGCCCAGTGATCTATTTTTTTTTAATCTTCCTGGTTATAAAATGTTCCTTTACCATTTTATTTTTTCTTAAAAGCCTATAATACAGTGTTATTTTGAATTTATGTAATTAAACATGATTCTTGATTTTTTATGACTATCCAACCTGCCTTACTCTCTTTCATTTTTGTTTTTAGATGCATCATCCTATTCAGATGAAACCCGCAGATAGTGAAAAGTCAAATGGTACGTGTTTAATTTATTTTTACTTAATTGTGACTCTCTCTAAACTAAAGCAAGCACAACATTGTGAGAGGTTTTGCTTTAGTGCTTGTGTGGTGAAAATTATATGAGGTAGTTTCGCTCCACCTGATGTGTTGGGGAAGGTATTGAGCTGCTCTGAACTCCCTTTTATCTTCTGCTTTAAAGAAGGAAGGAAATGTTCTCAAAAAGGGTCTTCCTTGTAGCTCCTGTATGTCACGACCCACCTCACTGCATCCATCTCTCCCTTGGTTTCTCCTAACAGCAAGGTGATGTGGGAGCGCCTGATATTGATAAGATGGAGATGAAATTTTACTGGTGAAATTTAAAAATAAAGGAAACAAAAAAACACTCCTGTGTTAACAAATTATGTAAGCAGATGATCAGCCTTAAACATTTGCCTAAACTACCTTTTTATAGAATGATGCTGTTCTGAATCCGAGCCAAATTTAGGTTTTAATCATATGCTTCATTATGAACTGGGAAACCCACTTTGCAGCTCTCTGTATACTTATTCCTCTCAACGATTGAAAAATGAATGCTATAAAGACAGTAATATCCATTTGGAATACCAGGGTACTGTCTAAGTGGATGTATATGACATGCAAAACAGACAGCATTTTAAATCTATTAAACATGCCAGGTTTATATATTCAAGGAAATAAGATAATCGAATGGTAGCGCAACCTGGCTGGGTGTGATTCTTTAAAAATATATACATGTGTATATTTTGCCCCTTGATTTGTTCCTGTAATTTTCTAAAATATATGTTAAAGATATCATCTGCCTTCTTAGATTGCAAGAGCTTCATTTTCCCATAAGGCCCACATAATCAGAGCTGGTTCCTCCAACAGGCATCTTTGCACCTCATTAATTAGTAATCAGGGCAGAAGCCGTGCACTTAGAGATCTACATACCTGCAAATGTAAATTATGATTGGGCTCTAAATCTCTCTGCAAGGCTTTTTTTAAGGCTTCTTTTTTAGCTAATTGTAGTGCAACCCTTTTTTGGGCTCCTCCAAGGATTAGGAAGTTTGGAATGAAATTAAAACTTCACATTATGCTAGGTTTCCCGTTATAACAACTTTCCAAACAAAAGTAGCCATGAGCACAGGAAATATGAGTCCTTACCCATTTGTAAGGGAGGGGTGTTCTCTCTCTCAGGTTAGAATCAGGATCATCAAAATCTGACTTCTGGCCCTGCACGGGGACAGTCCCAAAAATTACACCACGTGCCTGAGAGTGTTGTTCAAATGCTCACTGAGCTTTGATGGGCTTGGTGCCATGAACACTTCCCTGGGGAGCCTGATCCAATGCACACTCCCACCCTCTGGGTGAAGAACCTTTTCCTAATAGGTTTTAGCAGTGATTTCTTGCTGGTTTTGAATGCTCAGAATAGAGGCCACGGCACCAGCATGGGCAGAAGGACTGAACATTTCAGGGCCCACTGCAGTCCAGGAGAATGTTGCTGTTTGAATCCAGACTCCAGACCATGATATTTAGTGCTAGAAGTGGGTACAATTATCCCTTAGGCACAGGAACACTGGCCTGAACCCTCTCAACTAAGTGTAGCCTCTATGAGTTCTTCTTTCAAAGACAAATTTCACCTCAATTTCCTAGGTAAATTGGAAAAATAAGAGGCAGTGGGCCAAAATTGACTCCCAGTGAGTTACTTGTTCATTGTCTGAAGTGTTTCTTTCTAAAGGAGATTGAACATATTGGCAAAACGCTATGGGGAATTGTGCAAATTCTGTCTTAGTCTGCAAGTAGCACCTGCTTGAAAAGCAGGGTACATTAGCTCCTGGCTGCTGCTGTTAGTCCAGGGTTATCTGCATGAAACTCCTGTCTGCACTGTGGGAATACTCCCTTGTTTTCTGGCACCTACTCCAAGCATGAAAATCATGAGGGATTGTCTTTTTTCCCTTTTTTTTTCTTGCCTTTTTTGTATTTTGGGGAAAATAAATTGTCAGATCAGAGGTTCCAACTGTCAAATTAAAAACCTTTTTAAATTTAGACTCCTAGAGGGTGTAGGAACTTCTGATAGGCATGTTCTAGGGGTGGTGAACTATTTTTTTTTTAATTGACTGGAGAAACAGAAGGCAAGCTAATACTGCAGTGATGCAGTATTTCTGCTCCTCAGAAAGACAGAGTGTAGGCGTGGGGTCCATGGAGTAGGTAACAGTTTGCAAGCAGCTTGGAGATCCAGAAAGAGAAAGAACAGCAGCATGGGGGATGTAGAGGCTTGTTTGGCACGTGTTTTCCATATGCCTCAGGCTATCCATCTGAGGAGGTATATTATCCATGCCAACAGCAAATTGTAAACTGTACCTCTTCAACCAGATTGGTAAGTTCAAAGGGGAAAAGAAAGAAGACATGCCAAGGCATCTTGGTTTTCATGATCTGTGGTGTTTGAGCTTTTGAGGAATACTTGAAACCCTTTGATTTCTGAGTCATGGGAGGATCCCAGTACATTTTGTAGGTAAAGTGGTGTTACTCCATTTTCGAAGAGGTTAATAAAATTCTCTTGGTCAAAATTTCCAGATATCTTGTAAACAGATATGCAGGAGAAGTTAAACACTCAATTTAAAAACACTCAATTAAAAACTACAATTCTTCTGAGCTTGTACATGTTTGTGAAGGATTGATAGATCTGTTCAAGTTCCACAGGGAGGAGGAATACGTCCTCATTCAACTTACAGAGGTTTCCAAAGAACAGTATTTCCTGTGTGATATGTCTCCTCCCTGTAATGAATCCCTTGCTAAAAAGGTTTGAATGAGCATCCAAGCCAGAGAATACCAGGATGAAATGCTCCTCCTTCTCCATCACTCTTCCTGTCCTTAGATATGTTCGTCACTGTCCCTTAGCACCAAGGACCGAGCTCACCTCATGGAAACTGGGAGATGGGTATGGAAGAGACACCTCCTGCCCACACATTACTAACCTAGAACAGGTTGCTCAGAGCCCTGTCCAACCTTGCCTTGAACGCTTCCAGGGATGGGGCAGCCACATCTTCTCTGAGATACCTGTCCCAGTGATTCCTTCCCTGGGTACAACGTGTCTGAGTCATTTCTCTGCTCGTGCAGATGAAGCAAAGCTTAATTTCTTCCATCAAGCTTTTAGCAGCTAGAGTTGATGGGGCAAGACTTGCCTTTAGATCTAATTAATTTGTCTACCCAGGAGTATTCTGAAAAGCTTCTTATTGTTGAGAAATGTAACACCTCTGAAAAATTTTCAGATGATGAATTTTGTAGTGTGTCCTGGTCTGATCACCCAGTAGGTCTAGTCCGACCACCTCTGTGCTAGGTGGTTGTTTTAACCTATCTACAAAGTTTTGTTTAAGGATTATCTTCCAGAAAATCATGAGTCTGACTCATGATTGGAGGGCTCCACCATTACTAGATTAATCTCAACTGTTAATCACTCACAGTATTTATCCTTTTAAGGGCATTTTCCCTTTTTTTTAAACAAAGGAGGTTCCTGCACTCTAATGCCAAAGAACACATGAACACCTGCTTGACTCTGAGTTATCTGTGACCATTAGCATGCTACAATTTGGCAAATACTTAAATGTGTCTTGGATCTGGATTTGAACACAGTCAGTACTTTCAGGCACATATCCCACGGACAGTATGCTCCAAAGTGGATCAAAGTAGCACCAATTCAGGGAAAGTGACTAAATTCTCTGTTTAAAAAAATTAAAAAAGGAAGGAGGAGGGTAGCTGAGAAATCTTATAATTTATTTTTATTTATTTTATTAGTGAAAAGTTAAAAAATAATTTTGAAATTCTAAGTGGCACAACTTTGCCGATTTGGAGGGAGTAATTAAATGCCATATGTTAGCACTAACACATAGAAAAGTTGATAATTAATGCAGGCAGCTCCAGATCCAGGTGTGATTTTGACAGATTGTATACAAGGGGTTTTCACAGGCTTACAGATAGAGATAAAAAGTCTGGTTTCCCCTCTTCCCTTCTGTCTGGGAAAAGAAACCAAAAAAACCTACAGAAGCCACCATTTATACATAATTACCTGTTTATTGATTTGCTCAAAAGAGAAGACAACTTCTGGGAGGAATGGGGAGGAAATGTACTCATTATCTTACTGGACTCCTCAGAAATGCATAATAAGGGGTTATAATTTTGATTTTTCAGAATTTTGGGGGTTTAGAAGAGAGAAATGTTTGTCAAATCTTTAGGGAGATTTCCCATGATTATTACAGGGTTTAATTCTTTTGTAGCATTCAGAAAATAATCTCTACCGCTCTGTTCTCCTGGGTTAGCACAAGCGATCTAATACAACCTGCAAGAAATGCTCATTACTGAAGCAAATTGAGTAAAGCTAAAAAATTAGGCCCTTCAGGATGTTATTCTGCACGTTGGATGCAGTGCTGTCAGAAGACAGGAGGCTCAGTTTGAAAAAATCCGCCCCCAGCAGAGAGAGACTTCATCTCATATAACCTTGGATGGCTAATGCAGCATTCTGGGCTCAAACACGGTGCCCAGGCACCTGTGCTAGTGATGGCAGAGCGAGTCTTGATAAAGTTATGAGAGCAACTCATTTCATTTTAAAACAGGTATTTGCACCTCGTCACACAGGGTTCCTGCATTCTGGGAAACCCCACCCCAAATCCAGCAGGCTTAGCACTGGATGTGTCACTCCAACTGCCCTGGCAGCACAGCTAACCTGTGTTTGTAATATGTTGGGATGGATTAAAGGTGAACCCCATAATGTGTTAATCAAGATGTTGTGTAGCTTCACACCTTCCTTCCTGTGACTAGAACTTCAGGTCTTGTTTACTGTGGCCTTCTGGCTGCTTCTGCTCCATCAAGGAGGGGTACTCAGCCACCCCATCCTACCAGCTGCTTCCAAATGGTTGTATCTACTTCCTTCCCACACAGCGGTGCAAAATAGTCAGAAAGTTCAAATTAGCCTATGAGCAAGGTTCAGAAATAATGATGTCAAACACTCACCAAAAAAAATTTGATTTTTATGGATTTTGAATTATTGAAACCGGCCCCAGATGTGGGAGAGAGAGTTAACAAGCAGCAGTGAAATGCTTAAGAGATATGTGCACACAGGTGCTGACCCTTGTGCATTGTTATCCTTCCCCCCCCAGCATTCCTCTTATCTGCTCTCATTGCCCAAAGCACTCGCAGCTCCCAAGCTTTGTCCAGTCCCTCAAAGCTCATTTATTCCTCCTGTCCCTGCAGCTGGAGCTCGGGACATCTAGTGTTTATCAGGATGACCAAGATTTGGGAGTTGGCTGGAACGTAACAGCCCTATCTACTGTCAGTAGCAGAGGATAGAGTCCCATGGCACAGCCCATCCCATATTGCTGGGAGAGGTGAGATAAGTCACTCTTTGGACGAGCTGATCTCTTGGCTGTAATTAGGTGAGACAGGTTTAGAGTGCCATCCTTTCCCCAACTAGCAGCATGTAGCACCTGTCCTGACCTCAACACTTGGCTGGATCACGTGTTTAATGTTGGGCTCCTCATTTTACAGTCCATGGGAGCAAGCCAACACGCACAGGAAAATGCTCAGGCTTCCCAGATCCAAAGTTTGCTAACCTCTAACCCCTCTTGACCCACACTTCTTGCAGCCCGTTGTCTATTTGATTCTCAAACCTTGCCTGCCTGACAGGTAAGAATTCATTTCACAAAGGGAGAAGTGGCTGACCAAAAATGCAGAAACAGATCCTGGCAGTCAGTCTTATCGAGGTGGAAAAGCATTCCTTTCTCTGTATGAGAATATATCGTTAAAAACTCTTTCAGCCTAATAATATCAGATGTTCTATCAGATGGAGTGAAAACATGTAATTATGATCTTGACAATTGTCACTTTAAATGTTTTTTATGCTGGGCCCCTAGCCAAAAAAAGAATAGCAATTTTCTTAAGCTTCAACACTGATCAGCACTGACTAATGGCCCTGAATGCAGAGCACGTCATCATATCAATATGTTTTCTGTACTCTGAGCATTCTCATGAAATCTGCATTTTTAAGATGTACAGTACACAGGAGCTGGATGTTTAATTTACTATAAAATCACCCTCAAGCAGCAAACCTGCAAATCATGTTAGTTAAATGGCATATTTATAGGTTTACCAGCGAAACCAACGGAGGCCGGTGGGGAGTTTGTTGCCTGCTACTCTTTGGAAAATTAAAGCCTTCTGGTTGCATCTCATTTCTTTCGGATCTCCATATGAATCTCTTTGGTTTGAGTCTTTGTCCTGGCACCAAAGCAGGACCCAAGGGACCTCCTTTGGGATGCTGAAGTAGGCATTTGTTCAACTTAGCCAGCAGCTGTTTTTCAAAGAGGGTTGGAACCTAGTCACCCTTAGGGTAGACCTGCACACTGTATTTCAAACCTAAAATCAACCCAAGTTTAAACTGGCTGGTACTGGCTGACACACAGACAGAAATTAAGAGGTTCATAACACAGAGCAGAAGGCAATGCTTGCGCCTGTGCTTGGCACCAAGGCTTCGATCTGTGGTGTGGAGAAACTCAGTCCTGGCAGCCCAGCTGGGTCCTGTGTCTCAAAATCTCTCCTGTACCCTGCCCATAGTCTTTGGCTGTTGTTGAGGGGACAGGCTGGTCAGGGAACTTCCTCAAAAAGATTGCTCAATGCAGTATAGGAATTGTAAAAAGCCAAGTTACAGGCATCCTTTCACCAGCAGAAGTGGCTGCCTAGGCTCCTCTTGTAGCTGTGAGCAAGACAATTCGGTTTTCCCATCCTTAAAATAATTATTAACAGCATCAAGGCCAGTTATGTATTATGAATCAGATGTAAAGTTTCATAATAAGACATAAATATCCCAACTTGTTGGTCTTATTTGCAATCACGCATATTCAGCTCCTGATCTGTACATAACTGGCTCATCCCGTGCATTCATCATTTTTTAACCCTTTCTGGAGGGTTCACCTGCATGTGGAACCTCAATATAAAGTGTGAATGAAAATGTTCAGTCTTGAGGAATCTGCTGAGGAAAACATCTTCCCCTGGGTATTAAATTCACGCCAATTTTCTTGCAAGCTTTTAGAGTGAGAAGCTGGGGTTGCAGGGGCTGATCTCTGTTTTGGATTCTGAAAAAATGCACAGTTTTGGTGCTTGCTTGCATAAAAGCTACAAATACTTTTTAAAGTCAGCAATTTAAGGAGAAAATTACTTCAAACACTTGTCATGATCAATAAACATGAACCTCTTCTTGTTATTCTTGAAATTATTAAATACACTGAAAGTGTTGAAGTATAACACAAATAAAATCCTAGAAAAAATGGACGCGGTTCCTTCTTCCTCAGCTGCAATTTATTCCATTTGACAAACTCATACTAATACAGGAGACAGAGTTGGAAAGCAAGGGAGGATTCATTATTTTTTTTTTGTAAGCCCAGAAATGAAAATACTTCGTTACAAAAATAATTTGCACAATAATAGAAATAAGTAAGTGCAGTGCAGACTCTCTGGAGAAAAGCTTTCCTTCTCTCTTTGCTTCCCCACAAACCCTGACAGTCTGCTCATTAACAGGGAATTGGATTTACATGCCATTTCCAGAGAAGAAGAAAGCACTGGTGTATGTACTGTATAATAAGCACTTTAGATTTTTGGTTTAATATAGATGGGTGGGTGCGTTAACATTTTTAAGTCTTTCCAGAGTGAATTAAGTTTTGATGACCTCTTTCATTTTTGACAAGAGTCCCCAGCTTTAGACCTGTAAATTTGAATTCGATTAACAGGACTGTGTGCATCCTGCTGCAGCAGTCCAGCTTGTGCTGGTTTTGGTGACAGTGCAGGCAGGAAATAATCTACCAATACTTCAGGTAAAGCACCTTTTTCATGGGTATTTTTTGCAAACTCAGCATCGTTATGAATCTGAGGGTCTTCAAGTGATGTCCCGGGAATATGCCTTGTGTCCTCCTGAAGGGGAGAGGGCTGTGGCAGTCTGAAAAAAAAAAAAACAGCAGAAAAATTTAATGCATTCTTTTTCCAGAGCAGTCAGTGCACATCTGCCTTTCCAGTGCTGTGCATTAAGTTGGCAGAAATTGAAAGCTCAGATAGGAGCTACCCTCTCAAAACATTTGTCAGGAATATTTTTCATTAGCTTGTATCATTACACGCAAAATCCCTTCTTCACCCTCACTCCATCATGATTTCTTTCACACATGAGAGGGGTGAGGGAATTTATCTGAATTAGAATCTATGCAAAGATATCTTTAAAAGTCCCTCTAACAGAGGATGCTTTCCTTTTAGAAGCAGTTATGGGGAGGTGTATGCAGAGTGACTAAGACAACCAATTAATATGTTATATAAACAGCAAGCACCACTAGAAAAAGGAGAGAGAGAAAGAAAAACGAGATATTTGGGGTGGGGGGAGAAGGGGGGAAGGGAGGTTGTAAGTATAAAGTGTTTGCCTTAGGACTTGTCTTCAGTTACAGAGCCAGACTCACATGACTGGAGCTTGGTTTGATGTGGTAATGAAGCATTGATCACAGGAAAAAGATGAAATGGCCTTTGCTCATTCATTATTTTTATCTTCTAGCTGTGGAAGACAGAAAATTGTTCATAGGAATGGTTTCGAAGAAGTGTAATGAGAATGATATCAGGGTGATGTTTTCTCCGTTCGGCCAGATAGAAGAATGCCGAATCCTTCGGGGACCGGATGGGCTGAGCAGAGGTGAGTGTGCAGCCTGTAAAGTCTCTTTCCTTAAGTGCTAATTGGGAGCTATATGTCACAGCCAAGGTAGGCAGAGCCGCTGTCTGCAGCGAGAGGTTATGCTGTAATACGTCCCACGTGATGAAGTTATCCACATGAACTTTTCACAGTGACTGAAATTATCACCTTTTATTTCCAGTGTCAGAAAGGTCTCGGTGCCAACGTATTAACTTGTGTTATCACCCTGTTTGTCAGCTGGAAAGGTTCCTTTGCACCCTGAGAAAACACCCTCAGTTTTCTGCTCTCACAAAATCAAAGTTGCTTCCCTGACCCCATTTCTGCTTTGTAGCACAAGGCCAAAATAAAAAGAAAAAGAAGTCAGGACTGTAAATGACCGCTTAAAGGTCATGGGAACTGGCCCACGTTGTAGCACCATCTATCTCCTCCATTCCTGTGTTTTCTGTAACTATATGCAAAACATAGGTCTGCTGTAACTGAGAAGCAAAGAGGTTAGCTTGAACTTGAGAGCTTTGTCTGGACAAAAGTTTGTAAAAAGAGATTTCAAATCTTGTGCCTCTACCGCAACTCAAAAACCAGGGGAGAGGTGTTAAGCAGCACCATCAAGGGTGGTCAAGTGGGCGACCTGAACTTGGAAACGAAATGCAGCACAGACTTCAATAGCCAGTGGTCCCTTTTGAGTGCAAAAGTGCCTTTTGGGGAAAGGCCTTCTGAAAACATATTGAAAAGAAAAATAAACCTATATTGATGACCCAGAGTGCATATTAACTCCATGGTATATGGACCTGAATTTATTCTCAGACCATGAACCTTCTCAAAATGTCAGTGCCAGAGTTGCTGAGTGGAAAAGAAAATAGGGATAGTCCCATCTGTCAGTGCAGAAGGATGCTGTGGTACCTGCCATAGCCATTTAATGGCACAGGGCATAAAGTAATTTTAAGTGTGGATCTGTGAAAAACATCACTACTATAGAAAAAAAATAGAAAGCACAGTTTATGCATTTTATTACATTTTCAAAAGGCACAGAAAAAAATAATAGCACCCATTTTGCATATAGACGTGGATATAGATTTAGAATTCTTTCTTTGCTTTTGTATTTACATGTTTCCAGTAGGCTATAGGATCCACAGTATTTGTGCATGGGTTGTTTTGTTTTGTTTTGTTTTGTTTTGCCCAGTTTCTTTAAAATACCTATAAATTTCAGCAAGGGAAGTGCAGGTATTCATATATTTTATGACACTGTTTGAAAGAACTTACTGTACTACTTCTGAATAATAAGGACTTGTTGCAAAGACACTCTGGCAATAAATAGAGAGTCCCAAGAAAATTATGCACTTACATTTATGCTTTGTGATCCCCACACTTTTTGGGGCTGGGATGCAGCAGTCCCTTTAGGCGAGGAGAGCCTCGCAATGCTGGCTTTTGCCTTGGGGAAGATTAGGGGAGGGGTCTGAGGTTGGTTCTTGCAGCTCAGTAAGGAATGTTTACTGATGGAGTCGAGTGAAGCCATTATCTTTCTAAACCCAACACTGTGGCAAAATAAGTATTTCTGATTTTCACTGATTTCATTGTGTAAGTAGCACAGGGAAGGGGTGATGGAAGACACAAGTGGGAAAGGAGCTAATTAACTGCTGAAATAACAAGATCTGCGCATCAGATGTTTTGAGCCCCAAAAAAGATTTAATTGACTTGTCAGCATCACCCAACAAAGAAATAGATCTTTCCTGGGATCCACAAAAATCCCGCTGCACACTTGCTTTTATTCAACACACTTTGAGTATAGCAGGAGCATAGAAAAGCTAATTATGAAATCCAACAGAGTAAGTGAGGTTGGTGGGGTAGTTTTGTTCTGCCATGAATAGCTATCTCACAACAATCAGAAGCTGAGATTCCTAAGCTGTGCAGGGCAGTGTCCTCTGCTGGCCAGCACAGCTGTAGAGTTAATGTGCTGTTCTCTCCTGCTGGAGACTGAAGATCTCAGTCCAGGTAGGTCACACACCAGTAATCGTAGCAGAGCTGTATCCTCTCTGCCACTCGGGTTCATTTCAGTCACAATCACGACTGATATTCTATCATGCCCTCATGCATCATGCCTTGTTAAACTCGAATTGCTTTCTACACACCCATGTTCACACTTGAAAATGAGTTCAGCTGCGCCAACCAGGTTTTCAGGCAGATTTTTATCAGCTTCACAAAACCACCACTCCATGAGCAAAGGCAAAGTGTTGGGAAAATGGTTGGTATCGCACTTGAAATGAAAAGTGGTGAGGGAGATCTGCAGAGGAGGGAGCTTGACTGAAAAACTACAAGGTGAAAAACTGCTTCACTAAAGCAAGAGGGAGAATTTATACAGTTAAATCTTTGTAAAGAGTTCCAATCCTTAATAAGTTTTAATTCATGTTTCTGTTTCCAAGATGTTAATTCCCTTCGCCACAAACAGTATTTGTTTTCCCAGCACCGGTCTGGATGTGCTTCCCTCCTAGACTCAGAGAGGTGAATGAAAAATAGTCACTGTCTTAGGGAAACACTGACCCTGCCATGCCAAAGCCTTTGGGGACTCAGTTCTCACAGCAGTGAGATGGAAATGTGGTCCAGTAAACTCCATTTGGTATCTCTTTTCAGTTGCATAACAAGTGCACATCATGGGATCTCTGGATGAAAAGAGCTTGAAAAGTATCTTCTTGGTATTTGTGCCAGCTTTTGAGCTTTGTTAAAGGGTTCAGGCAAATAATCTGCATTACCAGCAGATAGTTGGAAGGAATAGCTCCAGGTTACACTGCTCAGTAGAGCAGTTTTGGTTTGGGCTGGGTTGTTTGTTTGTTTGTTTGTTTGTTTTTTACTTAGTAAAAAGTATAAAGGTTTCATTTGACTTTTAGACCATGTCTACACTACAGCCTCACTGCTGGTAGAGTAACAGTCTGCTGTCAGCTCATAGACAAGATGTAGGGTTTTAGTTTACCATGTGGCTCCAGTAGCAAGGAGAAATCCTGTCCTGTGGCATCAAGAGAAAATGTAACACTTTGTGATGAGTGTGATATAAGTGCTAAGATAAAGGGAGAGAGGGAGAGAGATGGAACTAGTTGTTTTATTGTAGTTTCTAGCCAAGAGTTGACAGAACTTTAATAAAGTCGCACCGACTGCTGTCACTAGTGATAATGGACCATCAGCATTTCAACTCCAAATTCCTATTGTCAGCTGTTTGAAACTCAGCTGTAAAATGAGACTAAAGTAATGATACAGAGCTCCAGTGGTGGAGCAGTGCATTTTAAAGACACTGAGATTTTTTTTTCCCCTGAGTCATGTTTTTCCCCGTTATTATTCACTCCTACATCTAAGAAATAACCATTGTTTATACCTGTAACTTGTTATATTTCGATCAGCTTCAAGAATAGGCAGCAACCAAAAGGCATTGCTTTCTGAAGGCTTTGGGATAGTCCCTGTGAAATTAGTTGGCTGGCAGAGAGTAATTCCTAGCTGTGGATGGTATTAAAAAATAGAAATACCCTGTTGGCTGTAGAGATAAAGAAACCCAGCAGCCATGGAGGCTGGCCCTTGCTTTAGCAGGGTTTGTGGGACTATCTAAAGAAGCTTGCCACTGCCTGTACGATATTCATTATTCAAAGAGAAGGATTCAGCCTGCAGGGTTGTTTAATCCAGCACTTTCTCTGAAGAGCTAAGTATGCTTTACAAAAATTCATGATTGTGATATCATGTGCTAAGCTTCATTATCATGAAAAAGCAGAAGTGAACTGCCTCAGATGATTAAGATTTTAAATCACTTATTGTAAACGGCTTAAGGAAACTTTCAGACCTCCTGACTTCCAATGCTGTGTAATGTCTACATGACCACAGATGCCAACACAGACAGCCATGCAGTGATAGCTGGAGTGTACAAAAATAACCAGAAATACCCAAGTTTGGTTTGTAGCTGTGCCACTGCTGTGCTGTATTGACCATAGGTGAGTTGGTCTCTCATCATCTCTGTTATCCTGTTCCTTAAAATAAGGGTAGCAACACTCCTCTGCCTTTGTAAAACACTTTTTTTAGATCAGCGGATCGATATCTCTGTATCACTCTAGGAATTATTACCATCTATAATGATGATAAAAAAAATCCTCTTATCCTTATCACAGGAGCACCGCACAGAAAATTATTCTGCTGTATTGCTAAGTGCAGATTTATATATCAGATACAAAAAAGATGTCAACTGGGTTAATAGCATGCACTGAAAAAACCTGCTAATAACATGTAGAGACAGTTGGATATACCATGAAAATTGTGAAAAAGCTCAAAATGCATTTTTCTCCATCTACTAGGCTCCTAATTGTATGATTTTTTAACATCACCAGGCACACAGGACAAGCGAACATTTCTGCAGACATTGATTACAAGGATTGTTTTTTTCACTCTTTCTTTGCTTTAAGAACAGGTTAGAAAAGAGAGTTACACCACGATCAGGCAATTTAATTTCATTAAAATCCATTCTTAACTTTCAGATTCAAGGGTATTCTTGATGAATTAGTAAAAGAAAATTAGTATTTGCATCACAATTAATTGCAGGGAAAAGTAAGTGAGGAGATTTTATGCCTTTTTTTTTTTTCCTCATGGATATTTACTGCTCCTTTCTCAGTTAAAGTACCATGAAGTGCCAGCTATGGGTACACCCTGGATTAGGGGTCCCCTTCTGAGTTGTATATCAGTAAGTGGTGGGAAACAAGGACAGTGGAAGTGCTGTATTTTAATAGCTCTTCAGAAGCACATCCATGCCTTATTTGTTTTGCTGTAATGTGGTAACATTTTCATTTTTTCCAATCATTATGGCACATTTAATTTAGTTCTCCCTTGCTGAAACTCTTTTGCAGCTGGGAAGGAAGAAACACATCCAAGTGACCAACGTCTCTGCTGGCCTTTGGCCAGTAACTACATCTCAGATTTCCATTACTGCAGCTTTGCAGCAATCCCTCCCCAGAGGGGAAGTCTGAAATGAAATAATTTACTAGTTT